ATGAACCTTCTGAAGAACAGGAGAAAACTCGAGAAGAGTGGATGATATTATCAGAGCTCAACACTCCTTTTGACAACTCTGAACAATCACCAGAGTCCACATATGACTGGCATCTTGATAGAGCCAATTATTCTCAACAACAAATCCAAGAAATGCCAACATGGATAAAAACAAACAAAGAGGAATACACTATTGATGAGCAATATGATGTTGTTGACATCAACAGTTTTAGTGAAATGCAAAAACTTGCTTATGATATTGTTAAGTCTCATTTTGATGATATATCATCTGAAAAAGAGCCATTATGTCTCATTATAAATGGTGTTGCAGGAACTGGTAAAAGTTACCTTATTAATGCTATTAGAAATCTTTTGCAAAGTAAATGTGCTGTTGCTGCTACCACAGGTAAAGCAGCTTATAACATTAGAGGTGTAACTGTGCATTCTCTATTAAAGTTATCTATAGGATCAAGCAAGAGGTAAAAAAGACCTATAACAGGAAAAAGCTTATGTAGGTTACAAGAGAGTGTTAATAACATTGGATACATCATTATTGATGAATACTCCATGCTTGGCCAAGTTACTTTTGGTTGGATAGACAAGCGTTGCAAACAAGCAACTGGTTATAATGACAAAGTTTTTAACTGGTGATCCAGGTCAATGGCCATCAGTAGCAGATAAACCTCTTTGCCATGCTAGACCATCAAACGCTGTTGGTGAACAAGGTCATCAAGCATATCATATGTTTGACAAAGTTGTTAAACTCACTGTAAATCAACGCGTGCAAGGTATGACATCTGAGCAAGTACAGTTCAGAGATTTGTTATTACGACTTCGCAAAGGCAACTCAACAGTTGATGACTGGAAGTTACTTCTGACACGTCAACCATCGAATGTCACTAATTTATGTGACTTCGAAGATTCTACTAGACTCTTTTATAGTAATGAACAAGTTGCTAATTACAACCATGAGCAGCTAACAAAACTTGAGCATCCAGTTGCTCATATTAATGCTCGCCATTCATCAGCATTGGCAAAAAAAATGTCCTCAGATGATATGTCTGGGTTGGAACCTGTTGTGTTTCTAGCAAAAGGTGCTAGGGTCATGTTAACCATGAATACAAAGACTTGTTTACAAAATGGAAAATACAGTATGGACTATCATTACCTTGGAAAGAAAGAATATCAAAACTTCCAACAAACTGGTCATATCATGTTAAAAGACATATTGTGTATATTCCTCATTGTGTTCTTCTAGACGTTTTGACAAGTGAAGATTGTTTAAAACATTGGTACCAACAATCACGAGCATACATTTAAATATGGAAATCCGAACTACACTTTATAGTATATATAGTAATTATTGCATGTTGTAATTTCGATATTTCTTAAACAAAATAAATTCATACATACCCTAGCTGTGTATAAGGCAATTTAAGTAAATGAAGTTTATTGGTATAATCAACCCCCAGGACTTTGGTGCTGAGGCAGCACTTCCCTTGCGATAGTAACTTTTAGTTTATATACTTAATACTGTTAGAATATTTCATTGTCGATTTACATGTAATATTTATAACACAAAATCTTGACACTAAACAGATATGCTGCTTGGAAACAGCGTTGTTATTTAGGCCACATAAAATAAATATAGAAATTTTGTATTTCATAAGATGCTTTTGAAAGGGATAATTTTAAGTGAAACCCACCTGTTGTGGACTTAAAATAGTGGGATAGGGATATTGCTAGGAATACTGCTAGGAATACTGCGGGATACTGCTAGGGATTGTGGCGCACTAAATTTACTGTTTTTATAGATTTTTGTCCAAGCAATTAAGTTATAAAGAACAGAATAATAGTGTTGCCACATTCATGTAGTTCTATAGGCAAACGGTTGATTTGTCAAATATCTAGCTATTATGATTGTTTCATTATAAACACTGGAATGCTCATACTGCATGGATGGTTGTACAATAAGCAAAATTAGCCTTAGTAAAGTAAGCCACTAAAGCCAGTATCTTGGCTGGCTTGCATTACATATAAACATCCCCTATAATCCTACTATAGTTGGAAAAATTAAGTCTTAAGAAGTAAATTTCCCTTCAATATATGCAATTTGTAGTTATAGTTGTATATATAGGCACAAAAATGGCTGAAATAGTTTAAAATTCAATAAAATGTCATTGTGTTGACATGAAAATATTCTACCAACTGTTTTTGTAGCCATAGGTGTTAATTTAAACCATGCAATTAATGCTCAATATATCTTACATAGTCAAGTCTATGCCACTACACCACTGCAAATCTGCATTCATAGTTCATACGACTGAGCATCTCATGGTTTAAATTAACCTATGGCTACAAAAACAGAATATTTTCATGTATATTGAAGGGAAATATATTTCATTCTAGATTTGTTTTATTTCTTAATTTTTTCCAACTATTGTAGGATTATAGGGGATGTTTTATATGTAATGCAAGCCAGCCTAGATACTGGCTTACTAAATTTACTAAGGGCCTGTTTATATGGAAGCCGGGCTGGCCCGCTAAGCGAGACAGCCCGGTAAGTGAGATCTCGCTGTGTAGTTATTTTTGCAGTAAAAATTATTGTGCGTTTATATGGACTCGCTTGAAAGAGGCGAGATCTCGCTTACCGGGATGGAGATTTCTCCATATAAACACTCACAAGCAGGCTAGGCTGGTTGCCGGGATGAAAGTTCAAAGATACCGCCGCAAGCTATTTTTAACAACTGTCAAAACAATACAATGTAACAAATTGTCCCGGCAAGCGGGATGAAATTTTCTCATATAAACACGAGAGAAATTCATCTCGCCTACCGGGCTGTCTTGCTAAGCGGGCCAGCCCGGCTTCCATATAAACAGGCCCTAAGGCAAATTTTCTTGTTGTACAACCATCCAGTATGAGCATTCCAGTATTTATAATGAAACAATCCATAATTGATATTTGACAAATCAACCATTTGCCTATAACTACATGAATGTGGCAACACTATTATTCAGTTCTTTATAACTTAATTGCTTGGACAAAAATCTACGAAAACAGTAAATTTAGTGCCCCACAATCCCTAGCTACCAGTGGTTCTGCATCATCAGTTCACAATTTTACTTTTAAGTCCACAACAGGTGGGTTTCACTTAAAATTATCCCTTTCAAAAGCATTGTAATACTTTATGAAATACAAAATTTCTATATTAACCCTTCAATTATAAGTGGCACTATATGTGCCCAGATGTACCCTACTTTATATTTTACTCTGCCTAACGCCAGACGATTTTACAATGGATCATGCAATTAAGCCTGGAACAAATGGTCAGTTATAAATACCTATCTTGATCACTCAAATATCAATGGCTTGATATATAAAAACCTAAAACTTATATGTTAGAGATATTAACTTGGTATAGACTTACCACTATAGTGCAGGTATTTTTTTGGACACCTGAAAACTTTTTTGGTTCCATTAATATACTGCACGGATTTGTGTGTTGGCTGGATGCATCTATTTATTAGTAAATAACAATATTGCACGCTGTTTCCAAGCAGCATATCTGTTTTGTGTCAAGATTTTGTGTGTTATAAATATTACATGTAAATCGAGTCGACTATGAAATATTCTAGCAGTATTAAGTATATAAACTATATTTTTATCAACATACCTTTATACGAGGTGAACAAAATCCGCATTAAAATCACTTCAAATATTGTATAACTGAACAAGTCACACGACAAGAGAAACAATATTATTTGCTTGATTGTATTTAAAAATAAATAATCCATAGTTTCACGACATTTTAGAGAAATACCAGAATTAGTGCAGAAAATTTCCAATTCGTTATATTATAAATTCGTCCGTTTGTTTATATTGGCATAAATTATATATTATTTAATTACTATTTTCCATATTTCACGCTGACAATACGTCAGACTCCGTGTTTTCCATATGACTCCGTGTTTTCCATATTTTTATGACGTCAGACTCCGTTTTTCCATATGACTCCGTGTTTTCCATACTTTTATGACGTCAGACATAACCGACGATCCGCCGTGGTGAGTTTGAAGGAGACACTGTCTTCTCAGATAGAGAGCAGGTTCCTTTGCGAAAAAGGCCCCGAATACCATACTGGAAATTTTAAAAACTGGTCTCTGTTACGAAGGCATGTTCATATCATAGAAACTTATTGCAAACACAATTTCAGGGGCAAAATTCCTCCTAAACAAAACCTGTCGTATATCCTGGGTCTTGCTGAAGCGGAGGAAGCAC